GGAAATTATAAAAATTTGCCTTTCTAATGAATTAACTGGAGGCATTGAGAATATTCAGAAAACTTGGACGGCCTTAGAAATTTGTCTTTTTGACTACTTGGACCATAGCTTGTGGCCCCCTGAAGATGTATTGAAAGGCATTCAGAGAGCTATTAAGTCTATTCAAATGGAAAATCCACCTGAGGCTAAGTTAATTTCTTTTCCCTTGAGCCTTTTGAAACCGAAAGCTCTTGGGGCTAAACTGAAAGTTAGAAATGTGACCTTAAAATTGCAGGAACAAGATCTGGGTAGCTTGGAGGAAGATCCTAGAAGTCAGGGTCATAGAGAGTCCTCCAGAAGAGAGAGACAATCCTCCTGGAGAGGAAAATCCGGAAGAAATTCCTAGAGAGGTACAGAGACCTTCTTCACCACGTGGCTTAGGAGCCCAATTTCAAAATGGTGGTGGCGGAGATTCTTCCCACGAGTCGTAGTCTGAGGAAGAGGAATCAGACATTGAAATTCAGAACTTATGGGGAAATTTTAACAGACTGCGTTTAACACCGCCTACCCAGGCTATTAGAATTTGGCCATTGTCTGCTAAAAGGACAAAATTTAACAGGTACTCTGAATTAACAATGACTTTTCTTACCCCGTTCTAGCGAGGCATTAAGAAAGCGTAGGAGGCGGGAGAGGACGTTAGCCATTTTCAACTTTTCCCAGTTTTTGAGCAGTTTAATGACCAGGACCAAAGGGTTCGAGTTCATGCTATAATTCCATTTAAGACTATTAAGGAATTGAAGAGTGCATGTGAGACTTATGATCTGAATTCACCTTTTGTACAAAATTTGATTGATACCATAGCCTCACAACCACTTCCACCGAGTGATTGGGTTTCATTAGCCAGATCTTGTTTGAGTGGCGGAGACTTTACTTTGGTGGTCTTACTGGGCTGATTTTTGTACTGAACACGAAGAAAAGAATAGAAGACAGAATTTGCAGACCCCAGTAGAAATGTCTTTAGGAACGTGTGAATTTGCTGATTTGGAAAGACAGTTAAATTATGAATTTGCAATTTGTGACCAGATAACTGACTGTGCTAAACATGCCTGGAAATAAATAATTTCCAAGGAGCAGTCCAATTTAGTTCTTACCAGAGTCAAACAAGGTGCCATTGAGCTGTATTCGGATTTTGTAGCTCGGTTGTACCAGACAGCAAATTGGTCTATTGGAGACCCAGGAGCTTGTGAGTTTATTGTTAAGCAATTGGCATTTGAAAATTTGAATAAATATTGTCAGGGTATTCTCAGACCCCATTGGAAAAAGGGAACAGTTTCTGAGTTTATCTGCTTGTGTTCTGAGGTTGATTCCACACATTTGCAGACAGTAACGTTAGCCTCCGCCGTAAAGCAAATCCTACAACCACAGGAATTGGTACGAAAACCCCGTGGGAGATGTTATCTCTGTGGTAGGGACGGCCATTTTTCTCGAGAAAGTCGTACTCGAGAAAGTCGAAAGTCGTAATTTTAAGTTCAGGGCTCCATCTGCTGTTGATAATAGATATTGCAAGACTCATCCCCATGTGGCAGATCAAGATGGCGCATCAGCCCGCCTTCTCAGAGTGAGAACAAAAAACTTCCGATAGGCGGCTCCCCGGCCTGAGCAAAATTGGAGGAGGGGTTGCACAGTGTGATGTCACTGGCGCCGAGCAGGATGGCCCACTATTTCTACTGGAACATAAATCACAGACAGTTTCCTTACAACCCTCAACGACAATTGCATTGAATCCTGAATCAGGGCCAAAACAAATCCCTACTGGGATTTTCAGGCTGCTTCCTAAAAATAGTATAGGTTTAATTTTGGGATATAATAATTTAAAAGGAGCCATTGAGGTAATACCTGGAGTGATAGATTCAAATTTTAAAGGACAATTAAATGTTGCTGTGAGGTCCAGTTATGCCCTAAGGCTTACTCCAAAGGATGCATTTGCCCAATTGATTTTATTGCCCTGTGATTTGGATGAACACCCGCAAGTAAATTCAGTTTCTAAACTGCCAGACAGAGTGTACTGGTCTCAGTTAGTGTGACAAGAGCGCCCTTTATTGGAACTTAAAATTAATCATGAAAATTTCAAAGGAATGCTCGACACAGGTGCTGATATTTCTGTCTTTTCTAGTAGATTCTGGCCTAGGAATTGGCCCTTACATGTAGCACCAGCTAACATAGAGGGAATTGGACAAATTTCACCGCCTGCTCAAAGTGCAAATTATCTCCATTGGGAAGATTCTGATGGGAACAGGGGAGTTTTTAAACCTTATGTGTTAGAGTCTTTACCAGCATACCTATGGGGAAGGGATATTTTAGCAAAAATGAGATTGTTATTAGTAATTTCAAATTATATACGATCAATTGAGGAAGTTAATCAGGGCTTTTTTTCCTGGAGATGATAAGGAAACCTTTCAGGGAGAGTATCTGCTTACAAACCAGTCTCCACGGCAAAGATTAGTAAATGCTCAAAACCAAAATTTTTACTAGGGGCCCTGAGTGTTTCCCCGATCCTAAAGACAGCTGAAAAAATTACCTGGCTCACAGAGGAGCCTATATAGATTTCTCAGTGGCCCATCTCAGGGGAAAAACTTAAAATAATCCATAGGTTAGTTGAGGAACAACTTCAGGCTGGTCATATAGAACCAACACACAGTCCTTGGAACACACCTATTTTTGTTATTAAGAAAAAGTGAGGAAATTGGAGGTTGCTACAGGATTTAAGGGCAATAAATCATGCAATTCAGCCTATAGGATCATTACAGCCAGGACTTCCTTCTCCCACAGCCATCCCTTTAAACTATAGCTTGATGGTAATAGATTTAAAAGATTGTTTTTTCTCTATAAGGTTACATCCTGGAGATTGTGAAAAATTTGCCTTCACTGTCCCAGCAATTAATTTTAAGGAACCTGTTAAAAGATATTGCTGGAAAGTACTCCCCCAGGGAATGCGTAACAGTCCTACCTTATGCCAGAAATATGTTGATCAGGCGATAGCTCCCATAAGAAATAGCTTTCCTGATGCGTATATTATTCATTTTATGGATGATATATTATTGGCTCATGCTAATCCAGAGGTACTTTCAGAAATTTTTACTCAGTTAGAGGCTTCACTTAACAGCAATGGGTTTATGCATTGCTTCTCAAAAAATACAAAAGATGCCTCCCTTTCAATATTTAGGTCAGATAATTCAAGGACGTACAATCCATCCTCAATATCTTCAGATAAGAGTTAAGGAGTTACATACCCTTAATGATTTTCACAAACTATTAGGAGACATTAATTGGCTGAGGCCATCCTTAAAACTAACTACTTCTGAATTAAGTCCTTTATTTCAGATAATACAAGGAAATCCTTCTCCAACCTTTCCATGTCAGCTGACCTTAGGGGCTAGAGCAACTTTAAAAAGGGTTGAAAATGCAATTAAAAATGCACAACTTTAACTAGAGTTGATCCTAAAGAAGTAGTGAATTTATTAATATTTCCAACTGAGCATACCCCAACAGGAGCCATATGGCAAAGATTGGGAGTTATTGAGTGGATTTATTTAGCCCACTCCCCTCAAAAAACATTGATTCCTTTTCATGACTCTATTGCTCAGTTAGTCATTAAAGATAGAACAAGGATTTTACAATTAATTGGATCTGAGCCTGATATCATAATTATTCCATTTTCTGTTCAACAGAATAATTGGCTTTTGCAAACTTCTAGCTTATGGCAGATAGCTTTTGCTGATTTTCCTGGCCAGATAGATAGTCATTACTCTCGTGATAAAATTATTCAATTTGCATCATTAACATGACTTATTTTTCCAAAGATTGTGCATGTCCACCCTATAGATGAAGCTTTATTAGTGTTCACGGATGGTTCAAGCTCAGGTAAATCAGGTTTTTATAGTCGTGTTCACACAGAGGTAATGCAAACTTCATATACTTCTGCCCAGAGAGCAGAGCTTCAAGCTTTGATTTGTGCCTTAAATTACTTTGCAAATGAACCTATTAATATTTATTCTGACAGCTTATATGCAGAGTTATCAAAAATATTGAAACTTCAGTTATTGGGTATACTTCATCACAAGAGTTATTTGAATTATTTAATAATTTACAAAAGGCAGTGCATATGCGAAAATACCCAGGTTTCATAGGACACATACGGGCTCATACTAATCTTCCAGGACCTTTAGCTTCAGGTAATGACAAGATTGGTAAATTAGTAGCTGTCTGTCAACAGATGTCTTCATGTGATTGTGCACAAGCTTCCCATTCCTTGCATCATCAAAATGCTTCTAGCTTATGTAAAAAATTTAATATTACCAGAGAACAAACTCGTCAAATTGTAAGTCAATTCCCTAAGTGTGTTATTCACACTCCATCTCCACCATCAGGGTTAAATCCCTGTGGATTAAAACCAAATCAAATACGGCAAATGGATGTAACTCATATTCCTCAATTTGGTAGGCAATGTTATGTACATGTAATAGTTGATACATATTCCAGATTTATTTTTGCCACAGCACATACAAAGGAAAATACTCAACATGTAATTTCTCATTGCCTAGCAGCCTTTGCTGTGTTAGGGTGCCCTATACAGATCAAAACAGATAATGCACCAGCTTATGTAAGCTCTTCTTTTCAACAATTTTGCCAAGAGTTTCAAATTAATCGTAAAACAGGAATTCCTTATAACCCCCAAGGTCAAGCCATTGTGGAACGAGCTCATTTATCTATTAAGCTTCAATTACAAAAATTAAAGGGGCAGAATAGGTTTATGACTCCCCAAAATAGCCTCAATCATGCCTTGTTTGTTTTAAGTATTTTAAACTGTGACGTAGAAGGTCACACTGCAGCTGAGAGACAAATGTCTCCCACAGTAACAGGCCCTTTAGGCAGAGTTTTGTGGAAAGATTTACAGATTGGTCAATGGAAAGGCCCAGACCCAGTGATTATGTGGGGCAGAGGTCATGCTTGTATTTTTCCAGAAGGTGCTTTTCGTCCTATCTGGGTGCCTGAACGTGCAATCAGACATGGAAGAGATAGAACCGAGATTCAAGCGACTGAAGATCGACCCGGAGAAGCCCCCATTCAAAAGGAAGAGATATCGGAAAAAGACGAAGAGAAACCAGATTGACTCAGCTAAAAAGCTGATTTCATGGGAAGACTTGAAGAAGCTAACAACACAGGCTTCCCGAATAATTCGACTTCTAGGAAAAAACAGGACCCCAGTCTTGATGGTAGCGACAGTAATTGCCCTGCTGGGCTGTCAGGTAAAGGGGAACCAGACAGACATTTACTGGACATATTTCCCAGATCCACCCCTGGTACACCCAGCTGTGTGGACTGGAGAATCTATTCCAGTGTTTATTAATGACTCATTCATGATGGGAGGATTTACAGATACTCATATTACTCCCAATCATGTGACTAGATTTAATTTTTCTGGCTACAGTGCCCCATTATCTTTGTGTTGGTCCCACGATAAACATGCTGGCTGTCTGAAATTATCATTTTAGGAAAAGATAGCGATTGGTAGACCTAGACTGACCAATTATTCTATTTATGGAGACTTAAAACCTTATACTAGATCAGTAATTAAGATGGGACTTTCCCATAACAAACCAGTCATTTCTGCAAGACCTCCACGGATACACCACTGTCCAGGTAGTTCTACAATTGAGATTGGCACCTTTCCGAGATGGATGGATTGTATAAATACTTTTCCTGAATAACATAAGGTGTCCAAAGATAGTGGGTATAGTTTAGACTGGTCTCCAAAAATTGATAAGAGACAATTACGAAAAAATTCTGCTATGATACCTGCAGGATTTGTTAGTAATATTTTGACTTACAGTGAGGGTGGTATTCAAAAAGATGTTTGGCGCTTAATTGCTGCCTGAGAATTCTTATATTTTACAGACAAGCCTTTACCAAAATTTGTTGGCAAGAACTGTAAGGAGGGATCTTGCTATGGTTTACGAGCCTGCGTCCAAGCTCCTTATGTTTTAATTATTCGAAATGTAAAAGTTAAATGGATAGATGACAGATATGTTGTTACATGTAACAAATGTAACCTAACCAATTGTATTACTAGGTATAATGGAGGAAAAGGAGTGCTGATACTTCATCAGCCCATTTTTGTTTTATTACCTGCTAATATTTCAGAGCCATGGTATGCTGATGGTGGT